TTAGGTGGCGTACTATTACTCGCGATCGAGTGAATGAATTGTGTCCTTTAGTTACAGCCCACAACTCATAATCAAAGTTATGAGAAGCATTGAATGGATATTGGGTTTTTGTTTCAGTGAAAAGCAACTTCCAGGTGATTAATAATGAGCCTCATCGTTTTCATCATTTTGGGTGAGAGAGAGAAAGAGAGAGGAATCTAGTGAGAGAGATGGTGAATGCAATTAAAGTTTTAGAAGGTGGGTTTGTGAGGATGTAGCAAATGAAAATAGAGATCGCAAAAGAAATTGAGAGAGATGGATATGGGAATAGGATATAAAAAGCAGAAGGATGTTTTTATCTTTTAACCAAGATTCCATATTTGCAATTTGGGATCCCGTCCTTTCTAGCTATTTTCCAAATTCAGGGTCTCTCATTACTATTTTATATACTGGAGGGTTTTTATTTGCAATTTTTCCTTTCAAATTTCTTTATGTGGAGTTTATCATTTAAAAACCAAGTTCATACAGTCGTAGAGACCTTTTTAGTGAAGCCCTCTTCATTTCTCCATGAAATTATTCTACTTTTTAGTGAAGTCCTCTTCATTTCTCCATGAAATTAATAAACCACCACTAGTATGCACCACCATTCATTTTTAGAGTAGAAAATAAAATAGCCCAGGATTTGTATCAGTAAATTGTTAAATTATGTTTAATCCATTCCTAGTGGATTAGGACCCAATTCCAATACTAGTAGGACTATTTTGTGAATAACGGAATATATAGATCCAAAAATGAAGTATTGCCTTTATGGTTTAAAATTTAAATCCTTTTAACTACCCATATGTGAGATATGTGATAATATCAGTTCTAGGGAGTTAGTTTAATTACAAGCATGTGTATGTTCTCTATGAATAGTCTTCTTTCTTTGTTTTTTTGGCCAACGGTAGTCTTCTTCTCTCTTCCATTTAGTGTTATTTGTTGTGCAATCATGTAGTGGTCGTATCCATGTACACCCCGAAATCCTTCATAAATGGTAACAAATTTAAAGGAGAATTCTCGTTTAATTCATGAGCATTGTTTTGAATCACCATCACCCTAATGCCATATAAGTTTCACTTGTTTGGTTGACATAATTACTTGGATTTCAAAGTTTATGTGGCATAATCTTATGAGTTAGGCAGTTCTTCAATCTTTCTATGTCAAGCCTATCAATTTGGGGTATGTTTGGATTAGCGGTAAAAAAGGTAATTTATTTTTAATTTGACTTTTAAAAAAGTAAGATTAGGTAAAAATTAGATTGGCTAATTTGATTTGTGTTTGGATTGATTTTTTTATAAAAGTTAGTTTGTAAAGTAAAAAAATTACTTAGATTATGAGGGCATACTCATGTCATCTTAGTTATAAAGCATTTTAATATATTTAACACATATTAAGAAAAATCTTGAATTGCATTAATTCATCTTTAAAATATAATAATTTTCTAACTTTATCTTTATTTAATATATACACTTCAAAAATAATCGTTTACACTATAATAAATAGAGGATAAAATAGCATATTCATATTAAAAATTTAACGAAGTGACTTATAAATAAGATCAAGAAAAACCTTCTTTTTCTGACTTATAAATAAGACAAGAGGAATATTTGAAATCAAAAGTGTGTTTGTAACCTATTTATTGCTTTTAATTAATTTTAAATAATTTTTTATTATTCATAAATTAGTTATTTTAAGCTTATAATAAGAATTAGAAGGAGTAAAAATTCTTTAAAGGGGGAACCCAACCTTTTTTTTTTAAAAAAAAAACTTCTCTCCACCTTTAATTTTAACACTCGTCACTTTTCTCTCTCAATGATTGAAAAATATAAGTAACAAATTTTTACTTTTGACTTATTTTGGCTTTTGATGGAAAAGCACAATCTCCTAAACGCTAATACAAATAACCAAATTTGATCAATCGCACAGTTTGCCGTTTATATCGCATGATTACCTCCCAAAATGCCCTGATAAACAGGCCCTTGTTCCTTGGACTCAAATGTTATGTTTTAATACTACTTTTCATTCTTAATATAAAAACTAATTGACTAATTTAAATAAATTAAGAAAATGAATTAAATTAATTATTTGTAATAAATATGTATTGTTTTTCTTAAAATACTCTTCCTAATAATATGTATTAGCTGGGATTACTATTTGATGAAACCTACAATGTACAACCACTATGTCTATGAGGATTACCTTAGAAAAAATAAATAAAAATGAGAAACAAAGTGGATTGGAGTCTTATATTTAGGACCAAATTGATTGTGAAATTAGCTTTTATGTTAAAGATCAAAGGTAGCACTTTATAAGTTCATATTTTGTCCATAAGCAAATCTTTATCGGGAGAATTAACAAGAGGTCCCAAAAAAGAAATTTAATTATTAAATAGTCATAATGTCAAGACTTACTGTCATTTCTTTATCATAAACTTGTCATTGTTTGTTATTCATTTGTCAATGAATTTTAAGATAGTTAAATCTCTTTTTTGAAACCTAATTATAATTCTCTCATTTTTCTTTGCTCAATTTCCTTTTTCCGCTTCCTAGTTAACGCTCGTTGCTTGTCGTCAAGGAAGAAGGAGCAACCACCGGTGTGCCACCACCATCCGATCTACTTCCTTCGCCGTCCGAACTACTCTCTCCGTCATCCAATCCAGACTTTCAGAAACAGAAGATAGAGAGCAGGCCAAGACATATGCTGCTTACAGCGTACAGTATTGATAGCTAAAATTATATAAATAATCAAATGAAACTGAAGTATTGATTTTTATTTAAAAATATTACAAACATAAAATCAATATAATCATAACCTGTCAATATCAATGTAATAAACATTTCTTTAAAGTATGTAACCTGTGAAAAACTTTACTATTCATCAACCGTGAACCATGCGACCCATATTTTGGGCTTGGCATGTACCCGCCTGAACTAGTTTTTGGTTTTTTTTAAAAAATAGAAGAAGGAATTCATTTAATGTAAAGTCTGTACAAAGCAGAAGTAGCTACAAATATTTACAAAAGAAGTCCAAAGGTAGTATAGCTCTGTACAGTTTGTTTATTTGTAGCTCTAATGTGAGTCAAAATTGCTTCTGTGGTATAAGATCCATTTGCAAAAATGCGATGATTGCGAGCCTCCCAAAGCTTCCAACAAACAATGCAAAACCCAATTATCCAAGAAATGTCCAGCTTTGAGTTGAGCAGCATCTTCTCTATTCAAGACACTAGACTGTGACCAAAGAAGTCATTATGCAGATCATGGGGTAAAATTTTCTTCCGAATGGTGGAAGCCGTAGGGCAATTTTTAAAGACGTGATCAATATCTTCCGTCCCTCCTTGGCAAAGCCCACACCGATGTTCTGAAGTGATCCCTCTTCTGCATCTTTCAGCATTAGTAAGTAATCTCTGTTTAAGAAGAAGCCACATGGAGGTCCGAACACGTTGTGGCATAGGGAGCTTCCATAAATGTGTCCAAATATGTTCTGCATTGTTCCATTTGGGGGCTTCTAATGCTCGGTAAGCTGATCTGATTGTGAATTTCCCAATTGATGTTAGGTTCCAAGAACACAAAGGCTCTATTTGATTTCTATCCAGAGTAGTTTCAGATATACCTTGCAAAATATTCTGAGGTAGAAGATGGTGAAATAAATTCCAATTCTAGCAACCATTCTCATCTATATAATCTAAAATTGTCTTGGAGAGATCAGCGTCAGAGAGAGGAGCTAAAGAAAGATGCTTCAAAGGGCCATAATCATTAATCCAATAGTCTGACCGGAATTTAATCTTTGAACCATCAACTAGTTTTAATTCCTATAATTTGATTAATTTCAAATAATAAGTTTTGATTCCTATAATTTTATAAGACTTGGTTTAATTTCATAAGACTTGGTTTAACGGTATTTTCTTTAAATGTAAAGAAAATACTGAAATCTGCTAAATGTATAAGTGCCAAAACCAAAACCAGTTAAAAGTATATTGACCGGATGAGTCCATGTACTTTTAATGAGTTTTTGTTTTAATCCCTATATGTAATAACATTAACTCAGATCAAATCATTATAAAACTATAAGGACCAAAAACTGTAATATGAAACTATCAAAAGCAAAATTTCATTAAACTGTAAGAGTCAACAATGATATTTATTCTTAATATTCTTTTATTGAAAATCTATAAAATATACTTAGCTGTTTTAAATTAGTTTCAGAAAAGTTAAACAAAAAATGAGTTTTATTTCTTATAAAATTTCATATAATTTATAATTAACATAATATGGTATAAAAGAAATTAATCTTATGATTTGTTAACTTTACTATTATGTGGATCATAATATTACAAACGCATGAATAGTTGGTTAGTACTAACAACACAGTTGAATAACATAATACTAAAAAAATTAAATGCAGCACATATAATTTTCTGCAATTATTTTTCATCTCAAGCAGCTTGCCATCTTTGGATTCAATGACACTGATTCAATTTGTAATATTTTCTGGGCGCCTAGTCTGGAACTTTCTTTATGATCATTACAACACGTAATGGCGCCATAGAAGCATTTATGGCCGCCCTGTGTGTATCCATATTCACTAAATAATAAAAATCAAATACATGCATAATGTTTTTTCTAAACTTCTTGAAGACTGAAAATGTCTGAGAAAATGACATGTAATAAAATTGAAGTCACATTTCTTTCAGACATTAATTGGTACTGATTGCTCAACTGCTGAGTTCTATGACCACACAAGTCCAACAATATGTTTTAGCAAAATCTAAAAATTTTTATGGTTTTTTGAGCGTTCAAACCCGCCGATCATCCTAAAAGATTGTCAGACTGCCCATTTCATTTTTCTCCATTTTTATTTAGGAAAAAAGGGGTCAGAATTCACCATTTCTTATGTGTATTCTTCTTTTCTAGCATATAAGGGTGATCTTATCTTTTTTCTTGTTCATAAACATGACATGTTTTTACCTTAAAAGCAGTTGATGTTACAATTCTTCATCAGATCATCATCAATTCATCAGTGCTTCCAACATTAGTAGTAACAAGATTGAGAATGACGAAATTTGAAGCAAATAATAAAGTTATTCTGATAACAGAATTAAACTAATTTAAATTGCAGTCATCCCCTCCAAAGCCGTTCATTCCAAACCCTCCCAATAACCAACCAAGGAGGTACCTCATTTGTCCTGCTTTAAACATCCCCGTAAGTATATAGAAAGAGGTTGCCACATGTTCTCAGGAGATGACAGATATTTTGCCCTCCTTTTTGGAGTTGGGGACACAATGTTGGCAACCCAAAACTCGTCTATCTTCTCCAAGAATTTTGGAGCCTCCCTGGGATCGTATCCAGCTAAAGCACTTAAACGTATCCCGATGTAATCTGCTTCAAATTCTTGCCTGCAAGTTATGAAAGGATGAAATGGTACAATTATATCGAAAAAAAGGCCATGTTACGTTCCTAGAATGAGAATTTTATCTCAGCAAATCAAACCCAGGAATAAACAAGCATGCAGTTTTAATAAAGACATAAAAGGTGTTGAAGGTTAATTAGTAGTTGAGAGTGAATATAGCTTACGCCAATAAGATATGAGCGACAGGAGTGCCATATTCATTCCTGAATGCATCCCATAAGCCAATTGGATTGAGGATGGCCATTAGAATCTCGATGCAATAAGATATTGTCAAGTTTTCAGCATAATGTTGAGCCACAATATGCCCAATCTAAAAGAGCAGAACATATATGAGAGTTCAAAGTCGCAACTAGCCAACACAATATAAAAATTTTACCTTTAGTCCTAAATATAAGGCCTCATTTGTAATCATATAATCAAGGAGCCAACAAATTACAATTCCAAGCACACATGCATGCATACACACACACACCTACCTCACGTCCGATGAGGAATGCTATCTCTGCATCACTTGTGACATGCTCAAGCATCCAATCAAACAACACAATCTTCCCACACTCTGTAGCAAAGGAATGTCCAGAACCAGTCACCACTAGCACCTCCCAGTCCAATCCATCCAAATGTGACGTGGTACTAAGTTGTGACCCTTGTCGTTGGATCTCTTCTTCGCATGCATCAATTATGTCCCGAGCTATCCTTCGTAACCGTATAGTTTCAAGATGAGTATCAGGCAATATTTTCCCTTCAAAAGACTTTTTTCTTTTTCATGAAATGCATCTCTGCGAGCCTCCTCAACGTAGACTCGGAGAAGAGGATTAAACGTGTTCTATCGTGATAGGGAACAATGTGCAGATGATCATAGAATATCTTGACAATAACACATGAACAACATGTTACTATCAACACACCAGCACGAAACCACCATCTAAAACCTCGGGACTTGCGATGTTGCTGCACATAATCATACTGATTCACAGAGTAAAATCTCCTCGCCTCATTGAGAAATGGATTACCCAAGTTCCTGTGTACTCTACCCTGTAAGCGTAGTCTTTGTGATATAAGAGAGTGTGATGAAATCCGAATATGAAGTTTAGCTCTATTCCATGCAGGAACCATCAAGTGTTCAAACTGGGAAAATCTTTTATTGGATAGTAGAATTTCAGTTTTGGGCATAATCCTCCAAGAGCAACTTCGAAATGAGTCGAAGACCAGCTTTCCTGCTCTTCTTCCGTGCGACCCCATGATCGTAGAAGGTAAATTGAGCAGATCACCAAATTCTTATATGAGATTGAACAATATGTGTTTCTTGAAGTAAGAAATGAAACCTGATATGCATCATTTTCATGAAGAGGATATTGTGATTAAGGAAAAAGGAAGAAGAGACGTCTCAGGTAGAAAAAGGGGTCAGGGAAGTCGCCAAACAACATATTAAGAGATCTCACCATCAGGGAAGTCCTCTTAGTAGTTGTTCTTATTTAATATATTAAAACTGTTACTCTTAAACTATGGTTGTTATTTCATTTTTTTTCCAATTAAGTGCATTAAGATAATTTTGGTACAAAATTTAATCCAGTACTAGTCCCTAGGGAATTCAATACTTGAATAAAGTAAAGACAACTCTTAGGAGTTAGGAGGTAAGTCTAAGTGACTAACATCAAGATGATCAAAGAATCTGCCATGACTTATATAAGGCTCAGCAAAACAAAGGATCACAAGTTGACTCTGTATGATATTACTGAGAAACGAAATATAAATTGAAGGTAATTTTGATTCATCCCCTGCGGAATAATGATTCAGTCTCCCCTAGGAAAATGTTGAAGCATACATGAAAAAAGGAGGGAATCTCCAGGACACTGTCAAACTTGTTATGGATATTTGACATGACATTCCACGACCACTAGCAATAGATTTTCACTGAAGAAGAAAATAGTTGATTTTACATACTGAAGTCAAGACAAATACATCCACAGATATAGTGGAGGCTTTCGCTAAGCCCTTCACATGTGTTTAATTTTCTGCCTACAAAATGATGAACCGGATCCCAACCACATCATAAATCAAATTTCAAGATATCAGTCACAAATGAGAGAAGATAGATCATACCAATCAGGTAAGAGTGTTCTAATGCTCTCAATGTCCAGCTCTAGAATTAGTGCCAATCCCAATAGGAAGAATAACCTCTGCCGTTTCCTTTCTAGTGGCCAAAGCACATCGCAAGCTGAAAGTAGTAAAAGAACATAAATGCACATATAAGGGTACAATCCCACTTCCACACCCACACTGACGAAGTGTGCTCTCAGATAGCTCTATCTCCACATTTGTATTTTGAACTTCTCTATATTAATGCAGAGTAGTGTAGCTGTTTGAAAATAAGTACAGTTTAAAAGTCTACAGATCAATATACAAAGAAATGAATATTTAGGCCAGATTCCAAATAAGCGAATAGATAAAACCATGCCAGGACCTTTTGCAAGCATGTACCTGAAGAAGAAAATAGATTTACGCTGATTTCCATCGTGTATCTACAAAAGAACATAAGAAATTTGAAACAAATTGAAGAAATGGTCCAAAGAGATTTCTTGCGAGAAATAAGGGGAAAGAACAAAAAAGACAATCTCCAATTTCTGAAGATCAGAAAGAATCAGAAAAGTTTTGAGGTTAGTATTTATCAGTTACGGCGTGAATGGGATTTTTTTTTTTTTTAAAAAAAAATGAATCACCATAGATTATTAATTGATGCTAAATGCTCACTTGTAGATATCCATCCTTCCATATACTTAAATAGGTTCTGTTAGAGGTTCCACGGTATATTTTGGCTTTAAAATCTCAAAATTGTGTACTGTTTGGGACAGGCGGATTTAACAGATATAAAACCCACTCCAATACTTGTATAGCCACCAAAAGAACAGCAACTTGGGGCATTAAAAATACGAATTCCTTCGTCTGGTAAAAAATATGATTTAATAATTCAAAAACATACAACATAGCATGGGAGTTCATCAAAACCTAACAAGTTCTACTAAAACGCGCTCTCTCCCTTTTTCACATCTGTTCTGCCCCAAGAAGAGCTATATCAACTTGGTAGAAGCAAAAGACCAAAATAAAAGCTAGAACACATACATTACTGAATTAAACTAGCGCAATATAAAGAGAAATCTATATATCCACCGACTCCCGCCCCGGGGGGGGGGGGGAGGGATTGGGGTGGGGAGAGCCTACCGAAAATCCAGAATGAAAGAATCCACATGGATCACCACGAACTGAGACGCAGCCGAGCTACACACAGTGGAAACGGCGACGAGCAGTCGACCACCACGAACTGAGGGAATGGCCGAGCTACACGACGCATAGACTGAGGACCACGACGGCAAAGGTGAGGAGAACTCGAAATTCGGGGGTAGATGAGTTAGGAAGTTAGGCGTTTGATGATATCTCTAAGATGTCTCACGCCTAGGGTTCAATACGATGGAGGAGAATGCTAAAATGGAGGAGCCAAAGAAATGCTCAGCGATGAAGATGTTAGAGTGTTACTCTTCTGATCTCTTTTAAATTAAATATTCCACATGCCTCTCTTTATCTCTTCAACTTTTCCCTTCCCTTCCCTGACCCCTATCTCTATCCCGATTGGGAAAAAACTCTCCATTCTTTCTAACAGCATCTTTTCTAATTTCGGGACATTAAAAAATGGCTAAGAAAGAAGCAGGGAGAATAGCCCCAAATAGCAGGAGTGAAAAGCAGAATGAAGAAGAACAGGATCACCTTCGCTTTATCTGACAATTCAAATTTTTGTCGTCCTAATCGCTTCACACCAATTCAAATTTCCAAACGACATGTTCTTCTGAAATAGTCTCTTCCTTCCTCTGCTCCATTCTTCCTTCGGCTGGTCCGTCGTCCGCTACCTCCATAACCTCACTTTTTATCTTCTTCTCAAGAAAGTGCTTTGGATTTCATATGTTGCTGATCCATGCCTCATACTTTTCCGGTAAAGAGTTTTCCGTTTTGAAACCCAAACGTCTACAGTGGTGAAGGAAAGGGAGTTTTAAGATATCCTTTTGGTTTTGCCTTTCAGTTTTCCTTTTAAATTTTCTCAGAAGCAACATCCGCGCGTGTCTCTGATGATATATGCAGGAAAGGAAGGTTAACTAAGAGAATTACTTTTTCTGGAGATGGGCACACAGGAACATAGATGCTTACAATTCTTGTTAATCAAACACCAAAATCTTCCCACTACTTGCTATAGCAGTAAAGGCAGAATTTCCATGACCACTCACCACTAACACCTCCCACTTCTTCAATCCATCCAAATGTGACGTCATACTAAATTGTGACCGTTGTCGGTTAATCTCATCCTCGTATGCATCAATTATGTCCTGAGCCATCCTTCTCACCCGTATGCTTTCAGCTTGTGTCTGGGGCACTACTATTCTCTCTTCAAAAGGCTCTTTCTTTTTCTTCACATACAGCTCTGTAATCTTCTTCAATGTTGACTCGGAGAAAAGAATTAAACGAGTTCTTTTATGATTGGAAACAATTTCCAAATCATCATATACTGTCAGTGCTAAATATAAAAGTTAGTTGATTATTTTAAGATGATTAAAAAAATAAATTTAGTTATTTATAATATAAGTGTTGTCTTTCCTAAAATATCCTTGTTAATAAAGTATATTGGCTAGAATTATCATTATTGGAAGGATTACCTTAAAAAAAACAGATAAATATGAGAGACAAAATAAATTGGGATTTTATATTGAAAACAAAAATAAAAATCAAACGAAATCTTATATTTAAGACAGGAGCTAGTATACTTTTGGAATAAACCCTGAACAACATGTTGCTATCATCAAGCCACCAACAAGAAACCACCGTCTAATAAGACCTCGTGGCTTACGATGTTGCTGCTGCACATTGTTGTACTGATCCACATAGTAAAATCTCCTAGCCTCATTGAGAAATGGATTAGAAAATAAGTTCTTTTTGGCTCTCAGCGATGGAATCCCAATATGAAACTTAGCTCTATTCCATGCAGGTACCAGTAACTGTTCCAACTGGGAAATCTTGTTGTTGGGTATCAAAATTTGGGCATTGGGCATGAACCTCGAAGAGCAACTTCGAAAAGAATAAAAAACAAGCTTTCCTGATCTTACGTTAGACCCCGCGATTGTCGTAGAAAGTCGATTGAGCAGATCACCAAATTGTTATCTGAGATTGAACAATATGTGATTATTCGGAGGTAACGTTCCTTCAGTAACGAGCAAGACGAAGAAATAGCTAAAGTGGACACGTGTTCATATTCTGAAAGTGATTGTTAGTTGGTTAGATGCATTCAAATGGTAGTTGCAGAAGGTTGTGGAAAGAGATATACTTGGTATAATTGTGAAATTGAGTTACGACCAGTTAAAAATTTAAGGAATGAGTTGCAATGAGTCATAATTGAAAGAGTGTGTTAATTATAAGTGATTTAAAATTTGATAGAGTAAAAAGATAAATTTTCTCTAAATTTTATATACAAGCTTAATTTTATCTTTTTTTACTGTTAAAAATAGAAGCAGTCAAATCAATTAAAAAAAAACTAGGGATTTCACATTTAAAATTAAATTAGTGTCATTAATTTGAATTTTTTATCAAAAAAATAATTTGAAATTTTCATAATAAGTTATGGATGTTACGATCTTTTATATTATGAATAATAAAATTATTTTGATCTTGATTAAAATCATAAAAATAATTTATTATTAGTTGTTTTCCAAATTTTATAGTTTTTTTTATCAACATCTTCGTTCATCTATTGTTCTAATTGACGCCATCATGCATCAGATGTCGCAAGCAGCCAACCATATACAAAAATATGTACTGGTAATTGTTTTTAGTCTCTATTTTGGGGTAACAAAACATTGGAATTTGTGACAAATTAGCTCTTTATTTGAAGTAGGAAGAACTGTTATTGGAATTTGTGCCATGAACATCGGTATTGAAATGTCAAAGTGCACTTGGCTTCAATCAGGCTTATTGGTCTGTAATTGTCGTTATAATTGTGATGCTTAGTTTGATTGAGGATTTTTTTTTATATATTTTTTCTGAATCTGATACTACCTCCGTTCCTTAATATAAGACCCTATTTGACTTTTATTTTGGTTCTAAATATAAGATTCCAATCCACTTTGTCTCTTATATTTATACATTTTTTTTTTCAAAGTAGCCCTTCTAATAATAATAGTTCTAGTCAATACACTTGATTAATAAGGATATTTTAGGAAAGACAACACTTATTTAGGACAAATAACTAACTCAACTTACTTTTTTAATCTCCTCAAATTAGTCAACTGGCTCTTATAATTAGGACCAGAGGTAGTATTATCGTATTATTTATAAGAGGGTTTAAGCAAAAACCTCGTGTATTAATTCTATATTCTGAAGTGATGTTTATAAGAGTGCTTATGCAATCACAAGAAATCAGTAAGAGATGAAAATAAAATGATCCGGTTAGGGGGTGTTCACATAATTTAGCCTTTTTATTTTATTTTCTTAAGAAAACATTATGTCAAAATCATCATATAATCATCATTGTTTTGAATATTTAATTTGTAGAAACAAGGCTGAGAACATGATGAAATTTGAAGGAAATACTAATAAGGATAATTTTTTGACATGATAATTAAAAATTTAAAATGTAGCCATGCCTTCCAGTAAAAGCCTCCCAACCAAATGAATTAAGCAAACAAGTTCGTAATAAACCTCAACTTCTACTTTGACATCCTCGTAAGTATATAGAAAGAGGTTCGTTCATGATCTTAGGATATGACAGATATTCTGCCCTTAGTTTTGGAGGTGGGTGGGAAATATTGTTGTCATCCCACGACTTGTCCGTCTTCTCCAACAATTTCGGGGCCTCCCTGGGGTCATATCCAGCTAAAGCACTTAATCGCATCCCGATGTAATCTGCTTCTAATTGTTGCCTGCAATGTTGTGATAAAATTAATTGGGCTATGTATATATATATCATGTTCTTACTCAGAATCAGAATTTTATTTCAGCACACATAAAACCTACCAATACATAAACAAGGAGCTTAATAGAGTCACATATAGAGCCAATTAATAAGTGATGTTGACAATTAATTACTCCATCCGTTCCTTATTATAAGAGACATTTGGTGCTTATGGCATGTTCCTATATATAAGAGACACTTAAAAGTTGTCTCTATTTTTTTGTGTTGATTTCCTATTTTACCCATATTTATTGTCTCCAATTCACACTCTCTCTTCTTCCCACTTCTCTTTCTTTTAATAAATTACCATTGTTCTCTCTCATGTTCTCTCTCCTTATTAATGAGGGTATTTTTGGAAAAAAAATTATACTTTTTACATATTAATTGTTCTTAACTAATTTTAACTGTTTTTTTTATCAACGTAATTCGGTTATTCGTCTCTTATAATAAAGAAAGGAGGGAGTAGTAATTAAGAGTGTATATTTATATATATATATATATATATATATAGCTTACATCCAAAAGATACGCATGGTGATGGTACGTTTAGCAAAATCATCCTTGAATGCATCTGACAAGCCAATTGGATTGAGTATGGACTCTAGAATCTTGAAGCCATAAGCTCTTGTCAGGTTTTCAGCAGTACGTCGATCCGCAATATGCCCAATCTAAAAGACCATAACATGTATTAGATGTAATATTAATATGTGCAATTAATATCAATAAGAGTAGTTTAAAGATAAAAGAGAGAGTAAAGGTGCTTCCAGCATCCTAATCTTATTTCCCAGTATTCAACACCTTAATCTTATTTTGCAGGTGCATGATCTATTTTATAATGTATCCAAGTCCCTGATCTTACTCCAATGTTATTATACTTTTTAGTTACATCAAAAAGATTATGGTGCCAGATTTACCAAAAAGATAAGATCAGATAAGAGTGCTAAATGCATCATAAAAAATGATCACGACGTTGGATGCTATTTTACCCCAAAAAAATGATGAATTTAGGAGAACAAGCTGATCCAATTCAAGTCTTAAATTTAGGTTTAGAGCAAATCGCCTAGCTAGCTCCTACTTTTAGTACGAGGGGGAATATGTAAGGAGCCAAGCATACAATATGCATATAAATATATATATATGTACGTATATAGACACACACATCCATACCTCCCTTCCAATGAGGAATGCCATCTCTGCATCATTTGTGGCATGCTCAAACATCCAATCAAACACCACAATCTTCCCACCACTCGCTATAGCAGTAAAGGCAGAATTTCCATGACCACTCACCACTAACACCTCCCACTTCTTCAATCCATCCAAATGTGACGTCATACTAAATTGTGACCCTTGTCCGTTAATCTCATCCTCGTATGCATCAATTATGTCCTGAGCTATCCTTCTTACCCGTATGCTTTCAGCTTGTGTCTGGGGCTATAGTCTCTCTTCAAAACGCTCTTTCTTTTTCTTCGCATACTGCTCTCTAATCTTCTTCAAAGATGACTCGGAGAAAAGAATTAAACGAGTCCTTTTATGGTAGGGAACAATCTCCAAATG